AAGGCCCGTCCCAAACGCCGCCGGCAGGCCAAGCTGGGCCCGCTCCCTGCCGAACCGAGTTGCCGGTGGAGCGAAGCGGAGCTGGCAACTTGGTTTGGCGGAAGAGCGGGCCCAGCTTGTTATGATACAAAATCGAACTCGATCTGTCTTTTTATGATACAAAACTACCCTAAAAATTTCAGATCGCTAACTCAATTCCTTCTCGAGTTATCGTGCATACAGACAAACACACAAACAGAATGGGGCTTTTTCGGTCAGTGGAGTAATGGGCTTCGCTAATCGCTCAGCCAAAAACGAGGTGTATTTTTAAAGTGAAATTAAAATACGCGTAACATGATTCGCCCGTCACAAGAGGCTCACCTGCATCGGGGACTCGGGTACGTCGGGGTGCTCGGCAGGCTCGGTGCTCCTGTCGGACCAGGTGCTGGAGCTCGAGCTCCTCCTGCTCAGGCTGCTGGCCGGGCGGGCGGGCGGCGCCGGCTGTGCCGCGGGCCCCGCCGCCCGGGCCTTGGAGCTGCGGCCGTGCCGCGCCCTGCTGAACACCCTCTTGATCCTCTCGAAGGGCGACGGCCTGGCCTCGCCGCCCAGCCGGTGCTCGACGCGCTGCAACTCCTCTCGCATGCGGGCCAGCTGCTCCTGCAACACCAACGCACGCGTGTGAGCCGGCCGGCCTAACCGTCGCTCTGCGGGCGCTCGCCCCGCCCCGCCGCGCCCCGCCCCGCCCCGCCCCGGCCAATGCCGCTCACCTGCTTGTCGCGGAGGCTCTGGTGAGTCGCGTTCCTGCCCCTCCACGTCTCGACGAGGTGCTCCACCTCCCCGAGGGCGCCCAGGCTGAACGAGCTGCTCTTCAGGTCGTGGATGATGCCCAGGATGTCCTCGTCCTCGTCGCCGAGGCTCGCCAGCGCCGGGTCGGAGTCCCGTCGTCGTGGTGGTGGTGCCGCGGACGCCGCCGGCGGGGTCGGGCCGTCCGTCTCGTCGATGTCCTGGTAGACGGCGCTCGTGTCCTCCGGGCCGTACTCCGGGATGGTGTCCGGGGCCGGCTGTGGCGCCTCCGCCAGGGCCTGCAGGACGGCGTCCTCCGGGGCGCTGTGGCGCCGGGCCTCGGGCGCGGGGCGCGGGGAGCCCGGCGGCGACCCGGACTGGGAGCGGCCCGGCGGCGCCGGCATGTTCTGGTACAGCGAGCCGACGTCGTCTGCGCAGCTCAAAGAGGACCCCAATGTAGGCGAGCAGGACACGTCGGGCGGGCCGCCGCGTTGGGACGGGACCTCGCCGCTGTGGCCCCGCAGGCTGATCATGTCCACGTAGGGGTCGGCCGGCGGCGGGGGCGGCGCCTGCGGGGGCAGCGCGCCGGGGGCCGGCACTGGGGCGGGCGGCGGCGGTACAGAGTACGTTTCGCCGGCCGGCCGCGGGCTCAAGTAATTTGCGCTCTCTGCAAACAGATGGGGAATGGTCCGATGATGTCGGCGGAGGGCCCGGCCCACGGCCCGGCCAGAGCAGAACCCAGCAGCCAATATGCGGTATGTTTGTCCGACAACACACGCGTAGTAAGTACAACTTACCTCCAGCGGGGTAGAAGCCGGCGGCCTCGGCCGGCGTGCCCTCGCTGATGGTCTTGAGGATGGTGTAGACGCTGCTCAGCTCCGACATTTGCTGCGACAAAGAGTAATTGTCGCGTAAGTGTACACAAACAAAAACAACAACAAACCTGTGGCACCAGCCGACGAGCGAGATTTTATTTTACGGGGTAGGGGATGCTGCACTTCTGGGGTTGTAAATAGCCGTAAATAGCAGTAGTGGAACAGGCCCAGCAGGCCGTAATGAACTATCGCTCCTCTGGAGTATAACTTTATAACAAGCGCCACTCAGATAGCTGCGTCCCGTGCTCATGCCACTCTGCAGGGTGCGGCCGACGCTCCATACCTCCGCCGCCCTCTCCATGCCACTCACCATGTAGCCCTGCAGGGTGCACGCCAGTCGCTGGTG